CAGACGCTGAAACAGCCAGAGAGGAAAGTGTACAAGCAGAAGTATAATTGGACTTCAGTATTTCATACTGACGCCCTGAGATTTCCACAACTAAGCACAGTTTCAGAGTCCAACCAGGGTAACACTGCAGTGAACAAACGTAAGATCTCCCATATTCAGCCCGTCAGATTATTCCATTTCCCCTGCAGGCACTGTAAATCAAAAGCTAAAAACACCCCGTTACGTTCTACAAAACAGTTTTGTTGGCCCTTCTTACCAAAGACATTCTGGACACATGCATTATTTTTATCTGAGTCTCATTCATTTCTGTTTTACTGTCTGGAATTTAGCGTTAAATTGGGGGGAAGAAGGAAAGGAGAGAAAAAAAAGATCAGGCTCAGAAAGCAAGTAGTTAACCACAGAGAAAGAAAGCGGCAGCCAGTTAAATCAAAGAATGAACACATCACATGGACGTGATTTTCTCAGTATCGAAAGACTTACAAGGTCTGTGTCCCTTTGAACCAGGCATGGGCTGGATGCAGGTGAAAACCTTGTTGTTATTTGACTTAGGAGTGCTTAGAGCCCAACATTTTAAGTGTGAGGAAACCCATTGTGCTTATTAGGGAATAAATCAGCTGGTCCAAAGTACAGTCCTGCCACTTACAGTTAATATCACCTCGGGAAGCACTCACATTTACATCTCTAACTCCTTCCCTTGTCCTTGGAAGGATATGCATATTAACAACAAAGAGGTGTCCGACTACTAATCGAAAGCAATACAATACCATCAAATCTATGATGAAATAAAGAAGAAACGAGTACGAATCTAAGTACCTTCTCTTTATATCAGAGCCTGTACATTGTTTTCAGGAGCTTTTTCTGTCATGCAGTGATGAAAGGCTGAGAACAAAGTGAGTAAAATTTCCTCTTACTGCTTAAAAATTCTCAGCTGGTTTGCTGTATCAAAAAGCTGTCTCTTTAAACAAATCACACAGTTAAAAATGCCAAGTTATAATTCAGCAACTAACTCAGAAAATGACAATTTAATCAATCAGAACCAACCCTCCTGAAAAAAAAGAAAAAAAAAAAAATCTTCAGGCTTTCATGCAATGTGAGAGCGGTTGAAACTATAAAAAGGTTCAATCACTGTAGAACAAGCCTGCAGCATCAATGTTTATTAAAGTCAGGGGAGCCATTTATTGACCTGGGAAATAGCAAACCACCAGCAGCACTGCCAGATTGCATTTTTATAGTTAACAAACGGAAGGTGATATTTTCCTTTTCTCTTTTAATTGTGATTCCATCATATCCAAAGAGCTAAAAGCTGCTCGGTTTTTAAAGGAACGCGAAGAGGAGGATGCTCTGCCCCATCCTCCAGTCACTCTCTCTGCTCTGACTCCTAGCAATGGGATCTATTAAATCATTGCATCATAGGATCAAATTTTGAGGCTTATCAGAATGACAGACCTGTGTCTGCTCCCCCCTGCACTTAGGTGATGATAGAAGATAGGGAGCTACCATTATCAAGCTGCTTCCTTCTGTAATCAAAAAGGAATTATTGTATTTATTGACATAAAGGTCATCCTGCCACTGGGACAGCCAAAAGCACTTAGAATTAATTGTCTTCTCCCAAAATGACAACTGGCAATTATTATTATTTTTTTTTTAATCAAAGCACAGCTTGGTTGTTCTAGAGATTTTGTAACTGTTTTGCCACACGTCTTTAACTTGCACCTTTTTACACCACATACATGTAAGGCTATGAAAAGGAAAGCATCACAACATGAGCAGCCCTACCCACGTTATCTGAGCTGAGCTTCATTCTCTGCCCAGCCACTGGAAACCTTGGGGTTAGCAGGGCAAGGACTGAAGTCATTCTGTGTGTGTCAGCTGCCACCTCGACCGCTGCCATCGCCAGAAAGTGGACTTCAAAGGCTGCAAGGATGAGTCAGTGTAGCCTGATGTGCCATGCCACATGCTGCGGCTGAGAGCTGTGACAAACCCACGTCCTCTGAGCATTAGGTACAAAGCGAGCCGGCCGACAGGTTATACATGCATGCATCAAAGGGAATGAATATGGTAACAAATCTCCGGCCATCCAGGGCCATCGGAGCTGTCAATACGCTGCATGCATTAGCGAGAGCAGGGGAGATAAAAACAAAGATTCCTCGCCTCAAAACCACACGTCTCTGCTGCTCGGAGAATTTCACACTGCCTCTGAGCAGAGCACCGAGGTACAGAAGCACGTTTCTGATGCCGCCCAGTCCTACGCAGCACTTCGCACTCTTTCAGGTTTGCAAACACACCTGCAGCAGTTCTACATCTTGTTTTCCTTGTTCACAGAGAAGAACACGTAAAGTTCTCACTCACAGCACAGTGGAGGAGTTTGACACAAGTTAATGACTCACCTGTCAGACTATCAGAATTTTGATACTTGCAGGGGAAAAAAAAAAAAAAAAAAAGGCTTTGAGTATTTTGAGATATGTAAAAAGGTGCTTTGGGATTTAAAGTCAGCTCGTAACAAATTGAGTGGGTTGGTGTAAGGCCTGAGATATCTGCTTGGTGCTCAAATCACAAAACTGCAAGCATATGAATAAACAAAAGGTTGCAGAAAAGGGAACCCATGAGTTCCCTCAGATTAGATCCCACTGGCACGAAATTAGTTCACAACTGTCACTTGTGTTGTTTCAAGAGAGATTAATTCTTAAATAACACTAATGACAACTTTGATTTGACTTCTGTTATTACTACCGAGATGGGACTACGCTTCCTAGGAAGAAAAATCTTTTATCTGCTCTCTTAATGCATAATGTTTGATGAGATGGAGCTCTTCTCCCCTGAGTGATTTCCCTGAGCATTTTTGTTTTGAAAAAGAAATGGATTTCCAGGTTGAAAGCAAAGGTGCTGTGCAGCTGTCAGAGCTGGGGGAAAGGGGTGTGACTGCCATGCACAACGGCCTTGTATCTTCTCTAAGCAGTATCCCTTCTGCCTCAGCTCCTCACCCTCACTGCGTCTCATTACAGGGCTGGATTCTTCTGACCTGCCTCCACCACCGTCAGTAAATCATAAACCTTTCTCCTATAATCAATGGAGTGTCTTCAGATTTACCAGACAGTATAATCTGCTTCACGAGGCAGCTGATTGTTATCTGTAACTTCCCCATCCAATTCTAGCTATGGGAGGATGTAATCCAAAAATTTCCTTCAGGCTTTTTTACTGCTGAAATAGATCAAATTCTCATGGCAGGCTGTTTTACAACCTCCACTTTTCTAAATAAACATCACGCGGGCTGTACTGCATTTACGGGAAAACACTTCTTCTTGTCTGCCTGCACACATTGAGGCGGGTTGTTGGCTGATGTGCCGGCACACGAGACAACCAGCAGCACACCTCTGTGAGCCCATGGTGTGGCACCAAGACCCAAACAGTCACTGGGACACCACAGGTCTGAGTCTGTGGATGCCAACCCAGAACATTCCACATTAGAGTTCAAAACCCCTCGCACCATTCACTCCCAGCTTCCAGCACTCCTGCATGCCATTTTAAATTATTAGGCTCAGCTCCCAAAGATTAAAGAGTTGGTGGTATCACATCAAAGGTATCACGCTGCTGATATATGCAGTGGCTGCTGAAGAAAGGGGCTGCAGGGACTGATGAAATGTTGCCATGCAGGCAGGAGAGGGTGATGTGCAAGGAATGGGGAAAGCTTTCACAAAGGGCACCACACATACCAGGCATAGTAGCTGGAGACGTGCTGATGGGTGCAGAGTAATGTATTTAGAAAGAATCATTTGAAGTACGTTTCCGGACTATAAATTAGCTGAAACTGCTCAGAAAATGCCCTGAGTGACATTGAAGGCCACGCAATTAAATGCAAGGCTCCAACGTGCAATGATCAACAAAAAGCAAATGCACCATTAGAGTGCATGCAAAACAGAAAAGAAGGCCAAAATGGGGAGCTAATGGAGGCACTGTGCTGTCATACAAACTAAAGGCGTTCCCTTACTGGTTGATTTGCTAAGATACAAACACACTTTGATGCACATTTGTGTTAGGAAAACTGCAAACTTTTTCCCAACTTTTTCTGATGGAAAGGGTTGGAAACTGTTAATGATGAACAGAGGCTCTAACACAATGGGGACAAAGGAAGCAGGACAGATCCCGTAGTCACACAGACCTTCTCATTTGGGCCCTGAACTTCAGAGCACCTTCAGCTCATTTTTGGAGCCTGGAGATGAAGCTGCTTTGCCTACGTGGAAATTAAATATTTCTACTCAGCCACTTCAAGGATTGCCCTTGAAGTGGATAAAGCTCATTTGTGTTTGTGGTTATGTTAACCCTCTGAGCTTAACTGTGTACTTAGTAAAGATGCCTGGATCCAGATTATTCCTCCTCCCTCTTTCCCCCTGCAGTAATGCTTTGCCCTTCATTGTACATGTGGACTCTGTTAGAGCATAAATCTTCAAAAGTTCTTCAAGCTCACTTTGACCTACATCTTGCATATACGGGAACTTTCCTTCCCAGATTGTCTTTTTGAGCACACTGGCTCATTACAGTTTTGAACACTGAACTCTCACTCGTATTACTTTACTGCCTGGTTTATGTGCTGAATGTCAAAACAGGCATCAGAAATCTGATTTATGAGGATATATACAGAAATTGTGGTGCCTGCTGGTGGCTGGGTGTCAGCTGGCAGCTCCTCATCAGGATTTCCCCATCAGGAGGACAGCAGGGCCCAGCCTGGCAGCCTAGAGATGGCACTGCCAAGTGTGAACTCCAAAACCATCACTCAGGACCAACAGAGCTGCAAAGGTTTTTGCAGCATCCTGAAATCTATTTGCTCTCCAGCTTTAACCACATTTGCCTGCACTGTTGTTTTGTTTTTTTTTTTCAAGCAGAAGTCAACGCTTATTAAAAAAAAAAAAAAAAAAAAAGACAGCTGCATAAATCAAGCAGTCTCCAAATGTCAATATGAGTAAGATTTTGTAATCTCTTCCCTTTTCTATTCTAAACATCTGAAAATTATGGATAAAACCATAAACCTACAACATGCACGAGCACTGATAAAGAACCTAAGCTTCCACCACTAATTTACCACTTCATCTTGATTTTCACTGCTGCTCATGAGCGCTCTCCCCCACCCCGGCTACACACCGGCTCTATACAGCCCGGCTGCGGTTACTTCACGCACCAGCGATGCACCCCCCGCCCTGTCCCTCCGCAGCCCCGTGCTACGGGCCGCGCCCCGCTGCCAGCAGCCGGCCCGGAACGCGGAGGGTGGAGCCGCGCCGCCAGCACCTCCTCCCGCCTCTCTTCCCCCCTCTCCACCCCCAACGTGCGCGGCCGCGGCGCTACGCGAGCACGGGGATTCAGCGCGGCCTACGGGCAGCGCCGCGGCTACCATGGCCGGGGAGGTGAAAACCAAGCTGTCCAAGAATCTGCTGCGCATGAAGGTGAGGTGGAGGGGCTGAGGGACGGTCTGCGGGAACGGGAGGTAAAAGGAGGCCGGGCCGGGCCTGGCTGCGGGGCCGCTGGGAGCGGATGGGGCGGGCCGGGCAGCGCGCCCCCGCCGGGCTGTAGTGCCTTCCCCGGTGGGGGCTACGGCTCTGCCGCCATCTCGGTGCCCCTCGCTGGGTTGGGGTGTTTCCGCTTCTTGCACCTCCGAACAAGGCTGCTGTTGTGACACAGCGAGCGTCTCCTCTGTCCTGTGCGCGATGCTTTTACACGCGGACAAGCACGTGTGTTTGGTTCTGTCTTTTCGCTCGGCCCTGCAGCTTTCTCAGCCGCTCTGTTCCTGCTTCACCGGCAAGGGGCTGCTACAGTGAGCTGCCCCAGAGAGGGATTGACTGGTTGTTGTGCTCCTTGTCTTTCTGTGTCTTTCCCATAGACACACGCACGTATGCTGTTGGTGTTACCTTGGCCAGTCACCATGCCTGCAGCTGTGTGTCTCAGGCCAGGTGGATTTACAGGTTCTGGTTCTCGTTGTGTAATTCAGCACCTAATTCAGTAAAGTGCATCCTCTTGTGATGAGACTGCATCTAGAAAAAGTTGGATTAGCATTAACTTTTCTTTGAAATAATATCCATTACGTTTTGATAATCCAGCCAGGCTGGATGTGGCTCTGGGCAGCCTGGTCTGATGGTTGGTGACTCTGCACATAGCAGGGGGGTTGAAACTACATGATTGTTGTGGTCCTTTTCAACCCAGGCTAGTCTGTGATTATGTGGGCCTCTGCAGCTTCTTGCTTGTGGTGTTTTACTTAACATTGTGCATTTTTTTTTACCCCCTGTTCATGTGGGGTCATATCTTTAGACACTTGGCTGAAAGATATTTAGCTGACAGGTTCAATCTGCCACGTGGAGTGGACCTGTAAGATGGTGAAATATTTACCTCAGTAAGAGGTGCTGCCAATGAAAGGCTAAAATTTGTGCACAGAGGGAACAAAACACATCCTACGTTGCTCTCAAAAGCAATTGGATGATGAGCTTAGATAGCAGTGCAGGAGAGGGCAAGACTCTGGATTGCAGCATTGCTGATCTTTTTCTCATTTTTATGCAGTAATCTCTTTTTAGGTGAAACTTATGCTGCTGTTTTTTGCCATTTTTTAAAATCCCTCCCAGATTTCAAAAGCTAGATTTTTAGATTTCCTTCAGGCAGTGGAAAACCAGTCCATGAATGTGATGCCTTGACATTTGCTGGCTTAGAGTCCAGGCAGTAGTAACTAGCTTAAAAGGGGTGTGTAGGTTTTGAGAAGGTTGTACACAGATCTTGTACTCAGCGCTTCCCTTCTGCAGATCTTGTTGTTGACAAATGCTTTAATAATCTTTCAGCAGTTGCCTCTGCAAGTGTGGATAAGATGGATCATTGGAATTCAGTAGGCACTCAAAGGTGGCATGTGGTCAGTGGTCAGATCTTTTCATGGAGATGCAGAGTGTATGTGCTCACCTCGATGTCAAAAGACGGCTCCTGCTTTTAGAATAATAGAGTCATATGATTGTAAATTAGTTCTTGTACTGCTTGATCCATGTCCCAGCTAATCCAAATAGCCCCGTGGTTACTGACATGCATACTCTGCATCTACCTCCATCAGTGTATTTTTAATTCATCCACATGTGTTTACAGATAAATACAATCACATTTTTTATCTGTTTATTCCTGTAGTAATCTTTAGGAACATAATATGTAAAATGTAATGTGAAATGATTATTTAATTGTGTGCTTGTAGCAAAATTGCTCCTGTTGAAATTTCTGACTGGCTAACCAATCTCCTTGAGCAATATGGTTTTCCACATGATAGATTCCCTCATTTTCCTCAAGCAGATACTGTAATTTTAACTGGAAATCTTTGACATATTTTGGGTTGACTTGAAAACAAAAAAGTCAATTTTTCTTTCATTAAAGATCTTGTAAAATGAATGCAAATAAAAATATAATGGAAAATGAGATGCTAGCACTATATTGGTTTTTATGATGGGGTTTGTTTTGTTTTGACTGGGCTTTTTGTAATGATGAGAAGGTGTGGGAGTTCATATGTGATATATATTGCATACACGTATTACCTGTGTACTCTAAATAAGCTCAGTAATGCATGGTTTTTGTGGGAGACAAGTATTTTGTGATGGCTTCTTGGGTTCTGTCCCCAAGCCAAGTCCACACTAACTGAATAAAATTATGTCCAAGTCTCTGCTAATGTTCAAGAGACAGATGAGCCCCAGTGGTGTTATCCGTCAGCCTGCAGGCTTAGCTAAACACAGAAATGATGCTGCTTATATGAGAGAGGTAAGATTCATTGATATAAGATTCCTCTGTGCTGTTGCACAGGTTTGTTTTGGTGGCCACAAAGCAATTTTTGTACATCAGTGTCTATATACAGTGCTGGTAGCCTCTTGCTGCAAATTGTATCTGTGTTAATGTGCCCTGCTGCCAGATGTAGTTATTGAGGTGCTTTCTGTAGCCCCAAAGCAAGATCCCAGCTCATAGGGATGTCTTTGTATCCAAGTATGGATATGGCTGACTGTTGATTTCCAGTAGATGGTTGTGATCCACACCTGTTTACTTCTGCTCTGTTTTCTCAAACACAAACCGAGCTCAGAGAAGATCTGAGATTACGTACTGCTTATATCAACTGTTAAATAGTATGTAATGGGTAATTGTTGTCATGTAATTATTGCCTGCCAGAACATACTCAAAAAGCCTGAAGTTGTGTCTCTCTTCTTAGTTCATGCAAAGGGGTTTGGACTCGCAAACTAAAAAACAACTTGACGAAGAGGAAAAGAAGATAATTAGTGATGAACACTGGTATCTTGATTTACCAGACCTAAAGGAGAAAGAGTAAGCTTCTTCTTTTGTACTTCTTATCATCATTGGATTGCTTTATAGTGCAAACAGAATATAAATATATATAAATATATATTTCTTATGCAATAAATATTATTACTAACCAATTAAAAGAAGAAAAAAAATAGTAAAAGACCAGGAGTACAGCTTTTCCTTTTTTTTTTTTTTCAGAAATGTTCTCAAGGTTAAATAATCCAGCGTTTGACCTACTTTCGTTTCTTCATGCCTTGTTTTCTCACTCCCACTTTCTTCTAGATGCATGTCATTAGTTTCTTTCAAGCAGAGACAAATTCATTCATTGCTGCTTTTTCCCTTCATTCAAAAAAGGAATTTGAAACTTTGTAACTTGAAATCCAGTCACATGGTTGGGTCCATTCAGGACAGTTCTATCTTCTTGAGTACAGATCACTTCAAATCCTGTTTTTGAAAAAGGAGAGAGAATGGATGAAGCAAAAATAAAGGAGGGCTTAGTTAATAGAGGAGCAAGTGGCCATTCCTGCTATGTCAAAAGGTGCTTCAAATAGCAAGGGAACTACTTTTTAAATACTTTTCTCCTTTAAAAAAAGAACAAAATTTTTCTAAAGGAAAACATATAATTTATAAAAAGCTGTGATCCAGGGAATTAACTGTAATTGAATAGGTCATGTATAAGCTATTTTCCATGGTTGTTGACATGTATGACAGAAAGGTATCTGAGCTTTAGCTGCAGCAAGGAAGGTTCAGCTTGGGTATTGCCTCTGTAAGAATGAGGCTATTGGAAGAGATGGTCTAGAGGAGATGGGATTCTTCACTCTGGAAGTCTTTTGAGGACAGCTCAGATAGACCTCTGCTGTTCGTGGTACATGTTTTGCTGATCCTGCCTTGAAGTAGGAGAATGAGTTTGGTCTCTTCGTCGTGATTTTCTGTAGTTGTAGGAGCTTGCTTTAAATGGGAAATGAAGAGATTGAGGGAAGGGATGCATATGTGTGAGAGGAAAAGAATGGAACAGTTCAAGAAAGTACTTTTATCTGATGTATTTATTATGAATGGTTTGGGATCATGTTTCTTTTCTTTCCAGGGTCATTAAAAGAGGGAAAAAAAAGAGGGGGAATGGGAAAATGTTTCTCTGCTGAACAGAGAATTACACATTTATATCCTGACAGACTCAAATAATACCAGGTCTAACATCACAATGAAAAATTCATTAGAAGCTTTTGCTGGTATAGTAATGCCACCTGGAGAGTGATATTTATGTGGTATTTTTATTCTGGCAAAAGCATTAATGTAGGTGGAATCATACCAGCAAAGAATGCTTTCTGTCAAGAGAGTTAATTTTGCTTGTGGAACTGGCACAGCTTTACTGGCAAACAGTATTCCTTTGCACTCCAGGCTCTTTGTATTGAAAGATTTATCAGAGCAATTAATCTTCAGAAAGTAGTTGATGGTATAAAATACACTGCAGTTTTGTTTATTTGTGTGGGGGAAGACAGCAAATGCTTTTTACGTTTGTTTAATTTGATTATATTAAAGCACACTGTTTGACAACTGCTGTGTTTGGGCTTTCATGCAGGAGCTATATAATAGAAGAGAGGAGCTTTATGCCATGTGAGGATCTACTTTATGGTAGAATGTCCTTCAAAGGATTCAATCCGGAAATTGAGGTACTATTTAATTGGTTTTTGAGGATTGAAGCCCTCAAGAATGAGGACTTTAGTTTTCACACTCCACACTGTTTGGCCTTTGCAGCACCTTCCTTATATAGGAAAACTGTGATTTCAGCCAAAATGCCAATCAGTGCAGCATCTGAGAAACAGAAGCCTCTTACCTCCTTGTGTTGATGGTTAGTAAGTATGTGACTCCTGCAGATTTTCCTTCCTTGAGTTAAGGAGACTTTTCCACATGCTGCTCACCAAAAACATAGCTCACCGTTCTTCCTTCTGTTTAATTCAGAGCCCAATCTTACAAACATTCAGCCCTGTTTATTCAGCACTTACTTGTATAAGTAAGAGCTTGAGGTTCCAAAGTAAAAATTCTGGGCAAGAGGATCTTTCATTTCTTTCCAGCATGATTCATGCTCATACAACTATTACATACTGAAATAGTAATAGAAGTGTTACTGCTGAACTGAAACAAGAAGATGAAAGTACAAAGCCACAGGCATGCAGAAGGCTATGCAAGGTTATTTAATGGGGCATTCCTTGAGTTATTTTGAACTTGCTTTCACTGTGATTAGGCCTATCATTTCTTCGTGGTTTATACTAGTAGTTTATTGTAGATCTTTGCAGATATTTTTCCACTGTAACAAAACCATTTCAAAGACTAGCATCACAATGAAAAAAAAATTAGAAACTAAGTCTCTTGTCTCCTGAAGATGCCTGCCATGCTGTTGAGAATGCTTGAATAGTGCAGCTCACTGAAAAAAACTGTCTCTCTGTTGCTTCTTTTCTCAAAAGCAAATCAAACTTAGCTTAGCAATAAGGAGGAATGTTGCCTTTTCTTGTAGCCCTGTGGTATAGCCTAAACAGGGTACTGCAAACGAAGGAAAGCAGTATTGAAACTGATTCCTGCCTTTTATGCTTTTTTCTTGGCAGTATCACTATTTCAGCATAGCTGATGTTTTGTCATGGTTACATGTTTAAGCTGTTTCTTACTTCATTTTCAGAAATTAATGGTCCAAATAAACTCTAAGAGCAAGAAAGAAGAAATTGAAGAGGATGATAAAATGGAGGCTGATGTGTCTGATGAAGAAATGGCCAGAAGGTACATTATTCCTAATCAATACTGATTATGTCATAAAATATGTCCTATGTTATGGCATTATTTGTGGGAGGAGAAACATAAAAAGTTAAAAAAAAAAAAAAAAGAAGAAGAAAAAAAAGAAAAAAACCAGCATTTGATACTTCACAGAACTCATTATTCAGGAATTCTGGTGTTTATTCAGTGGAATCTCCATAACTTTCAGGATTAAAAAATCTTGCAGCTGTTTTCCACCTTTTGACATCCATGTATTCTATGCTAATGCCCTCTTAGCTCCAGATTGCTAAAAAACTTAAACTATCAAAATGAATAATAATGTAATCTGTGATCATGTAGCACTTGTGCTTCTTAAGCTTTCAGTCACAGGCTTTTTACAATAGTTAAATTGTTGATTACATTTATGATTTCCTGCGTTGAACTTCTCTCTGATTATAGTAAGAACTGTCACTTTTTAATTATCTTTACAGATATGAAACACTAGTGGGAACAATAGGGAAGAAATTCTTGAAAAAAAGAGACCAGCGTGTTATCCATGATGAAGATGAAGAGGAGAACAGTAACACAAGACCTAAGAAAGCTAGGAAAATGTTTTTAAAACCTCAGGATTAATGTCAGCTGCACAACTGAAGCTAACAGAAATGTTGTCTACCGAATATAGCAAATATGGCACCAAAAACTGAAGATTGTTTGGAGTTTTTGCTATTTTATGTAAAAGATAGAATTGTAAATCTGAATCCATTCTCGTTGAAATTTCTGCCGTCCACATAACAAGCATTTTTTGAAGTGGATGTGTATATAATGGATGTCATACATCCTTTCCTCTCTAAGCAGCTTTTAACATGTGGGATATTAAACCCATCAGCTGTTTTTAATGTTGTGCATAACTAGGATGAGTGTCAACGTGCAATCAATAGCAACAGTATTTATATTTTACGATAACATCTAAAATAAGTATTTGCAGTAAAGATGAGCTTTGCTCAATCCAATCCAGTGAGACAGTTCAGCTTTCGCTGCTATTTTTATTATGAAAATGAAAACCTTTGCTCCCTTCAATTCAAAAAAAAAAAACCAGCAGAAACATTTTTTTTAAATGCTTGACAAATAAGCTGGGAAAAGAACAGAGACAAAATCCTTTTTTTTTTTAATTTTATTTTTTTACAAAGCATATTTAAAAATAGGAGCTTATAGCAAAGCTTTTCTTTTCCTAGAGCAAGGCAAATATTGGGCAACGTTTCCAGTTTGACACTTGAGCAGATTGTGAGCCTTTAATTTCTGTCTTCCAAAAGAAGTTTGCTAATCTTGTCTTTTTTTCCAACCAAAAAATTCCAAACTTATAATTATCTTGATCTTAACATAGAAGCATAATAACAGCTTCAGAAGCATGTTTGGAGAGCTAATAAAAACTGTTGTTTGTTTTGTTTTTTTTTTTGTGGTTAATGATTGTGGTTTAACTAATTTAATGTTAAAAACAATTATGCTTAATACAGTCAGATAGAAGAAATGATCCTGTTTTGTGCTGGTTGTGGATGTCCCCAAATATTAGTTGACTGAGCTTTTTTCTGTTCAGCTTGTAACAAAGGCATCTGAAGCAATGCTAGGACCCAAACATCACAGCCTTTTGTCAGTGCTTTGGAAAACTGAGAAAGGTCAGTGTGGTTTTGTCTAAAATCACAGCAGTTCTCTGCATTCTTGCTTTCAAAAAGAAGTAGTTTTTATTATTACTTTCCTCATCTAGTGTCTAAATCACTCCTCCTTGACAATAACTTTCTGGAGAAAGAAGAATTTGTTAAATTGTAGCAAGTAGTGACCATTCCATCATGGACCTGAGGGTTCTTTTTTTCCCATTTTTTAAACAAGTCAGTGAAACAAGACATAAAACTCAATTATATGAAGAAAGAGTCTTATGTCTGTATTTGCATGTGTGATATATGAACTATAATCTGTATATCAAGAGCACCTTGTTATATAGTCAAGATGGATCACACATGGAAAGAGAAATACACTTTTAACCTAGTAAGGAAGCCTCGTACAGGTGGAAAGTCTGTGATTCATGATCTGAGAGTTTTTTCAGAGCTAATTAAATGCAACCAGTTGAATTACTTAGAATTTGATCATATATTACCACTGGCTGAAAAGAAGTTAATGATGGCAAGACATTTTTCTTCCCATGGAAGATATGACCTGAGCTAAGAAATGATTTATTGTTGGTCATCACAAGAGAAACTCAGAATGTATCCCCTTATTCTTTCTTGCTTATTAGTAGGAAAATTATTTCCCTCTGTGAGAATACGTTTCTTCAGTAGAGAATTTCTGCATAGCTGTGCTGGGTGGGTGAGGGAGGTGTCTTCTGTGAACCACCAGCAGACATGTTCCCACAACTGCCCTTATCTGAGGGAAAGTGGAGTTTTCAGTAACATTGTGTAGAGGAGTTCTGGGGTAATTTTGGTAACTACCTATGGCTCAGGTAAGCATTTTGTGAAGCCTTGCTTGGTCGAGTCTGTATGCAGTGTGTTCTGTTGCACTGCACAATTCTGTTCAGTCTGATGAAGGGTAATTTTGTGCAGCTGAAGTGTGTTCTGCCATACATGGGTCCTTAATTTCATATCATGGTGAATGGCTGGGAGTTTGAGTGGCAAGGTGTGTGTTTGCGCAGAGTGAACTCTCATCAGCTTCAAGAAAATCCATGGTTTTAGAGTTTAAGAGGAAGGAAGGGTGCTTCATTTGTTTCCTGAAAATGCCTAACACCAACTCTGAAGACTGTAATACGACAAGCCTTGTTTTTTTGTCTTCAGGTCTGGGTGCTTTGTTCATTTGAAGCTGGTGGGTAGGTGAGCTACTGAAATGTTGTAGTATGACCAACTGCTCAGTTTAAGCATAATCAGTTCTTATCCATGAGGAGTTTGTAAAGTGCAATGTTAAGATTCATGGTATGTTACTACAAATGAGGCAGAATTCAAAATCTTCCCAGTCTTACTTTCTAAAGGTGCCTATGTGTCCAAAGTTACCAGCAGGCATTTAGAATTATGATAGGATCCTCAGAAATACCCATCTGTATTTCCAACTTTATAAATATAAATGTGTGTGGTTTTTTTTAAATCAGACCTCTAGTTTTGTAGCCAAGGTAGAAACATTTTGCTATATGAAATTTCTATTTGAATTATTTTTGACAGAGCTGTAAGTGTAGCAGTGAAATATTCATACTGCAAACCTACATTAATTCAAGCTTTCTTGGCTCTGAAACAGTCTCAAATGCAGATCCATTTTCATGAACATCTTTCTAAGCTGTAGAATTTAAAACCCACGTGGTCGTGTTTTCCAAATGAAAAGTAGAGATCTTTGAGATTTAAAAGAAGTTGGGATAAGTAGTATTTTTGTTCAAATAAAATAAAAAAAAGCAAAATCCAAAGAGAGAGAGTAACTAGACGTGAGAAGTGTTTGTGCCTGTTGTACTGAGGTACCTATTAGGGTGAACAAACAAAGTGTGTTGTAGTTCATGCCTGCTGACAGCTCGCCCTGTTAAGTTTAAACATACTTCTTGGCAGGTGGAGTTTTTGTCCCTCTTTTTGACAGTCGGTGTTGGAAATGTGAAAATTGAACAACTTCATCTTTATTGCTCATATTTCTTCTTTTGCTACTTTTATTCTGCTTGGAATTGGATCTTAAAAACTACCGGACCAGAGTGCAACTGCAGTGAGACATCCTGAATCTTCCCTTTAGTAATGCATGAGCTGCTTAAACTTTGACTCTTTGGAGAGGGAGGAGGATGGGCAGCGGTGCCATGGAATTTGAACGGTGTTTCTTCCGTTGTGTGTCTTGTTTTCTAATAAGATTCTCCATTATACAGTTATACAATTGTGGATGGCTGTCATTGCCATTGGGCATTGTGTGTGTGTAATGGGCAGCTGGGCTGGGATTCTGGGAGCTGCTCCAGAATTCAGACTTAAAAAGAAATTGTCTCATCTTTCTGTTAATTGGAATGCTATACTTGTAAATTTTACTTGGAATTATAAAAGTGGGGGGGTGGGGAGAGGCGGAGGGTTCTACGCATTTGTTCTGCTTCATTTGAACAACAGTCTGCAACTAAAACTGCACAATAGCTTAGGCTTTCATTAAACCTTTCTTAAAGAGAGATTGTTAATAAGGTATAGTGATGGCAAAGGATGTCAAAGTGCCTTGCAGCTGTGCGATTCTGTGTTTCGCTACTGCATGTGAATGCAAGCTTCTCTGAGAGCTGATGCTTTAATTACTTGTTTGTTTTTTTCTTTCTGGTCTAGGAGGGTGTCTGTCTTCTACAATAATGCCTTGCTAGTGAAATTGCAGCAGGAGGCCTCTGGGTTTGTTTGGTTTTATTTGTTTTTACACCATTCTCATCCCAAACCTTTGAGACATTTTGGGTCTGACATTCACACCTGAATAACTTCAGGCTTTTCATCAGCTTATCAGGAGCTTTAGTTAAACTGTGGAACTGTTCCTGTACGTGTTGACTTTTCTTTATGTGATTTGATACTGCATGATGAGGACCTGGTTATACTTTTCACGTGGAAAGGGAAAACCCATCTCAGAGAGTTGTTATCAACAGGCGGAGTCAGAGAAAGGGCTGAAGCTTCAGTCATTGCCCACCCCATAAATCTTAAGAACATAATACTTGAAAGGGGTAGCTGTGTTGAATCTCATCTTTGTGATGCCTTGCACATCACAACCTGAGCAATTACCTGGGAGCAATAGCAGGAACATCTCTAGAGAAATACAGAGGCAGAATAACTGGCCTGTAAATGGTTGCCCTCAAGACAAGAGGCAGCAGCACCAGAGAGCAGCTGTAGTTCATTGCATAGAGGAATATGGTTTGGTGACCTGGGTTGAATGCAGATGGGATTTTTTGTCAGCCAAAATGGAGGTGGTAAGTGTTCTGAAACTCAGAATGTTCCTTGGGGTCTTGAGGAACAGCTTGTGATCAATCACTTAGAAAGGGGTAAAAACCCTTAATGAGACCTTAGTATGATGTAGTAGTAAGAACACAAATTACAGAACAAAGTCTTTAGTTCCACTGTTCATAGAAAAAGTGTTCCCACCTCAGTAAGATCTTTCAGTGTCTCCAGTCACTTCCTGCTTGGTCCTTAGATCTCCATCTCTGAGCAGGCAGAACTGCCACTATAGCCAATGGACAGGGAGGAGCCAGCCCAGCACAGGATGTGGTAGGGGACCTTCTCTTCAACCTGCAAGCTCTTTACAGGCGCCTCTCACAACTTACCATCTCCAGCACACTGTCAGATTTTGGTATTGGCCTGTTTGGTTCAAGAAATCTGTGGTGGGCAGGTTTGACCAGCAGATCGACAGCACAGTTGTGCAGGCCTCATTTACTTAGCTAATGGTGCATGCAAGACAGCAACTCTTCATGCTTTTGTTTTCCTTTATTATCATGTGAAGGAGGAAAAAGGTATTTTCCAGTATTGCTGCTGATCTCATGGACTTAAGAGCATTTTTGCTTTTTCAGTAGTTTTCTTGGTCAGGCTTTTTGCAGAAAAGCATGATGGGGGAAACTTTTTTGTTTTAAATTTTAATGGGGAAATGCAATTATTAAATACTTTAAAGAAAAGTTTCTTCATATTTGGTTGACTCCAAGGTGGTTTGTTTTATTTTTTTTTTTTCTTCAACTGAATACAGATGATGAAAACTTGTGACACTAGAGATCTTATGCTAAGCATTAGTCATTCAGGATAGCATGTGGACTCCCATATTTGCTATACACAAAAAGCAGGATAGATTTAAAGCTATAGCAGGGTTAGCTTCATTGTTCTACTTTTGTTATACAAATAATCTGCAATACTGGAAATATGAAATTTCTACCCCATTTGAGGTAGAAGTAAATCTAAGCTAGTTGAGACATGTAAGCACCACTCAACCTGTTACAGGATGATTATTTATCAGAAGCAAAGCTCGTTGTTTCTCCTTAGAACCCATCAGACACAATAATGCTGCAGTATATACAATTTGCATCAAAGGAAAAATACCTACATACCAAAAATTACCTTGGGCAGTTTACTGCAGTAATGACAGAAGGGATGCACATGATGATAATTTTCATTTAGTACTGTGTTTTCATCTAAGGATGATGGTGAAGGAATTACACCTCCTAATGTTCCTTTCAAAGATGACAATATTGTTCAACCTATATTAAAGGTAATGAGATGAGCAGTGAGTGGTTAGATCTTGTGAAAAATGAAGTTTTAAATGCATACTTCATTGTCTAAAAGCTCACAGATGATTTTTTTCCTATAATGGCCGTAGAAAATGTGTTGGCAGCATATCACAATTAATAATCCTTACTCCAAGTTATGTGCTATAGGCACTCCAAAATTACTCTGAGATATTTCTTACCCAAGTTTATAACCAGATTCAAATCAGTCTCTACGTTTGTGCCAAAAAACCGAACCGCAGTCATCTCACAGAAAGTAATTCTATCTACCTGACAGATGAATCTTAAATCCCTGTTTTTCTCCTTTCTCCAGAGTGAAATTCACTTTAATCTGGTATTAATGTATTTTTCCTTCAGTCGCCTGCAAGGGAATCCCGTAATCTTGCAGTAGTGATTGCAGAGACATGGAAGCTACTGTACGCATGTAGCATTACCATGGGTTTTTCCAGTCATCTAGATTGTATAAAACCCTTTGATGTTAACTGGGACAAGCTTTCTCTCTAGGGTGATGTTGAATTTGTCTTTCAGTGTCTTCTCCACCTCTTCATCTTTAAGGGTTATAAATTCTACCAGATCCATGTTTTCCTTGTAATTGTATTTGGTCTCAGTGAGCGTCCACCCAATGAGCGCTCGAAAGCCATCGGTGGTCTGAAGGGTGCAGATGGACTTCTTTGTAAAGAGGGAATCTGGAGACGTCTGAAGGTACGTGCACTGAAAGCAGAAATCTTCCACTGTCCGTGGCTCCAGACTGAACATATACACTTTCCGACAGTCTTTTTTCTCTAGAAGATCAGAATTAGAGAAGTTTTGATTGGGGATATATTGTTTCCGTCTCATTTTCTCGAGGTACCAGATGGCATTCTTTTCTGTGAAACGAAAGATACCAGGAGCCTGGGGCTGGTCTTTCCCTGATACAAGCTCCATTGGTTGCCACATTTGGTAGGATACACCAAAACCTGCATCTACAATGTAGGCTTTTCCCTCAATAACTACCTTCACTAGGAGGTGGGTCATGATGGTGGCATATGTGTTTTCATGTGGGTTGAACACGTATGCTCCCAAAAAGCTGGTGTCATACCCCAGGCATTTCAGGACCCAACCTAACAGCTGGTTATTTTCCATACACCAACCACCACGCTTCTTGTGCACAATTTTGTTATAAACGTGCTCCAGCTCCAAAGTAATTTTCTCCCCACAATGGATGCTGAGGTTTTCAAATGGAACAGCACGGATGTGGTGCTGGAATATATCAGTTAAGGTTTCCAAGTCTTGATTTTCAAGGGAACCTTTATACCCAGTTCTTGCAAAATACTCTTCAAGATTCATGTCTCCTGTGAAGGAAGGAAATGTGTTTTAGTTTTGTTTCTTCACATCAATGATTTATGATGCTGTGAAGAACTGCCCAGGCTGCTGCCTGCAAAGATGCATTAATCTACTGAACCTCATCAGAGCAGTTTTTAAAGGTAGCAAGTATTCACATCAAACAGTTCCCAGGGTTCAGAAGAGCAGTGCATGCGGGGGTTTATTTTTTGTCCTGGAGACATCCCTATGGCAAACAACTGATGCAACGGCAGCTTGATACGCAATGCCTGCAAAATGGGGATTTGATGTCCTAGCATTGTAAGGGCAGAGTTAAGAAGAAATGCAAGATCACACTAGGGAGTATTCAGTATGTTTCGTGAAAAATAGTCTAACTGCTGAATGAAATGAGTGTCAGTGGGGGAAGCAGTGTTGTCTGACAGTTGGAGGGCAAATAATTTGAGCCAGGATTCACATGTTCTTTTCATGAGCCTGCCACTACTCCATGATCAAAAAAACGAATGGCTCATTCTCTAGGTGTCTCTCTTCACCACTTACAAAATGTGAAAATGATACTCCCTGCACATTTTGTAAAGTGTCAAGTTTTATCCAGGTAATTGTATCTGGAAAAAAACTCTTGACCTTTTCAAGAGACACAGACCACTGAGTCTCTTGTCTGCTCCGAGTGTTGCACAAACTCATTTTGGTGTAGGAATAATGAACCTGAATGGAGGCGAGTGACCTAAAATACAATGAGCATATCTCTGGTCCTTTCTGTGCCCCACACCGTGCTTTGAAAGTGGGCAGTGAGTGGCTTAAAGCTCTCTAGACATGGCCTTTCCCAATACTTGATTTGTTTTTGCCAAAGGAGGCGTAACAGCATTATGTTCAGCGTATATCCTGTCTGTCCTATCTGTAGCTGATCCCATCTCCTGGCCTGGCTTCACAGGACTCATCATGACCTAGTCTGCTGGATGAGGAGCTACACAATGTAATTTCTGCCTTCTAATGCCATGAAAAGTCACCGGTCTGGCTTTCACAATGGCCCATTGTAATCTGCTGGCCAACATTATGGGCTGGGACCTGTAGGTGTCTGGTGAGATACTGTTTGTAAAATATACTGTAGATTGTCTGCTTGGACACTGAGCTGGAGATAAAAAGTTTTGAAGGCTTGAACCTTTACAGAGAAAATCCTAAGCATTTTAGCAGTCTAGAGTTAGTGCAAATATTTAGCTTTTTGACAGCCTGCAAAGCTAGTTGGAAATCTTTTGTGAATGCAGTAAGCTGAGGTTTAGACACTTAATATTAGTGACTTGGGAAGTCTATTGTATTCAGATAAATGCTGCAGTGAACCACTGAATGTTTACTGCATGCTAGAATTTCTCAAGGTGATTTTCAGTGACAGGTTTATGATGTGCATATGGATGTTATAGAAGCAGCTGTCCAAAGTGAATGGAGAGCCTCATCAAAAGCTGCATGTTATCTTCTACAGAAGGGAATTTAACTTCCAGTGATATGTAAGTGTATTGCTGGAGGATATTCCAATGTAATGTTTGTTCAGTAGAACACAAAGTTCTGGCACTTTATTCTTTTGACTTGCAGAATCCAAGTCTATCTGATCCTACCTTGTCAGATTAAATGCTAAGTAGATCACACCAGCATAAAGTTGGTTCTCGAGTTTATAATACTGGTAATTTCTCTCTGCAGTTCCTTAATAATATATTGATCTATGTTAGATCTTAGCCACAGGAGATAAAAACCTAGATTTTAAAAAGGTAATCCTACAGATGGGAGCAAGAAAACTTTCAAGGACTACTTCTAAATGCACAAATGAAGGTATTCAAGCAAAAATATACCTTACTAGGATTATGCACATTATTAGCAATTTCACTGTTAAAACATATATATATCTGCCTACTTTTATCCTAACATACCAGCACACAGGTTTTCTGAGGTAGGCAAAACACAGCCTGTAATTTCACTTTAACTTTTTTTTTTTTTTAAGGACTTCAATTTTATTAACAAAAAGCAGGATCCTACTGATTATTAAATGGCCTTTTTCTCCCTTTGTATGTGCAATATTCTACAATGTAATTAAAAATCTAGAAGAATTAACTTTTAAGAAAAGATTGTCATTCTGAATTTAAATCTACTGCTCTGGCTGAAGTTTTTCTTGTAGACATGTGAATCTCCTCCTGAAGAGCAGCAAGACAGAAGATTTGAGATTACATTATCATTTTGCCCTCTGTAAGCAGCCATTAATTTTAGGTCTACGTTTTTTAAATATTTATGCTAAGGAGAATTTTGCTTATGTGGGTCCCGATGACTTTTACCGTGATAAAGAAGCCATTTATTTGGTTGGTTTGTTAGTTTTGAGAAAATTAGCTTACCTCTTAAAATAACCTTCTTTGTTGATGTTTGCAGTTTCTGGGTTGGCTATTGGTGGGGCAGCAGCCTGGAGAGCCAGCAGTGGATACAAGCTGTGGGGGCTGCCTTCTTCTTTAAGCTCTGCAGTCCCTCACTCCTGAATCTTAAGTGCCAAGAAAGGGCAGAGTCCAACAAAAATGAATGCACATGTCTGGACTTCACTGATCCATGAGCAAATTAAACTTTGTTTCTTCTCCATTAATAGATGTTTATGTTTTCTGCTGGTTAAGACCAGCCTGAGCTTGTTTTCCATGTAACATAATTTCAGTAGATATTCACAAATGGTTCTGTAATTTTTTATAATTGCATTATTGTTACTTGGCAAAGGAGCAATTTGTGGAGGAGAATAGTCTTCTGCTTCCTTCTGGTGCAAGGAGTTGCCGAGGTGCTGCAGGCTGTCTTTTCCCATGGATGTACGAAATGACCCATCTTTGCACACAAAGAACCTTTTTGATCCCTTCAAAGCTTCCACTGCAGCAGGTAGTTACTTGGGAGCTGTAACAATGACAAGTATTTATTGGCACAGTGTTGCACGAGAAGAAAGTAATGCACTTCCTCTCCCAAAATTGGCTGTCTGTACCTTAGTGATGTCACACAGCTGTTTGTGATTCTCTCCTTGTCCAGCCTGTCTCCTTCATTTGATGGAAGTGGGAAGATGATGATCCTTTTTGGGAAGACAAAGACCATGTCGGGCTGGGACAGAACCTGAGCTTTAGGCACACGCGGCCCCATCAGTCGATGTGGCTGAGGACCAGTGTTCTTATGTCACCCTCATTCATTGCTCATCATGTTCAGCACCTGCCATCAGCATCAGAAAGGTAAAAGGCCGCTGTGTTGCATCCAACGTGCTGTGGAAAACACACTGCTGGCATGTCTTAACTTCCCAGAGTTCTTCACTTTTCCAGCATCTTGTCTTTATTGTCACTTTTGTGCAGAATGCTATCGATAATAAACAGCAGCACAGCTTATTGTTGTGCCTGTTTGATGTCAGAAGAAAGCGAGGTCCCAAATGTTTATATTATATTTTTCAAAGGTTGATGTAATATTGATTGTTTCAATTTCTGATACCAGAAGTCTGATTTTTCTCGAGAACTGTTGAAGACTCTCAGCTCCTACTGATCTTATTTCAATTTCAGAAAAATCGTACTGAAAGGAGCTAAAATTGAGCACACAGAATTGAAGAGTTTGGAGGGGTTTTCTGTTTGTTTTCAAGTTCCCTTACATGAATAGCTCATTTCAAGCCAATATCTGGTAAGGGAATAGGACTTGAGTCTCTCAACTCACTTCATCAGCAACTAATCAGCACCTAATAGTGGGTTGTTTTGAGGAAGTCTTAACCTTTCTTTTTTTTCTTTATGAAATTTTTTATGGCCAAATCCAGCTCAAGTCTCTGTTTCAGACTGTTAAAAGAACTGAATAATTTGCAAAAAATGTGTTAAGAAGAAGATTGGAAATAATACCAAAAAACATTACAGCATCACAGATCTTCTGTGTAAAATGGTAATACAGCTTTTTCTTCTAGATAATTTTGGTCTCATTTTATACTTAAGGTTTTTTTTGCTGCTGCAGCAGCAGCAGCAAATGAGATACAGAGAGTTGGAACAAAATTTAAGGGAGACAAAATACAATTTCCACATGAGAAGATTAAAGGAAGTAAGATATTTTAGTTTCTAAAGGAGAAGTGTAAGAAAAAATCCAAAATGAGTATGGGCAGTTAACTAACAATATACTTGAATTTACCAAGCTTTCTGTTTATCTAATTAGCTGAATTTTTAGAATACATTAATGCTATTAATATTAGTTTTAGAAGTTTCAATACTGGATATTTAAAGACTCATTTAGCTGTGTTGTGAATTATATGGAATCCACCAGATTAGGTGGCAAGCCACGAACATTTACTGGTATCAATTTGTTCTCTAACACTATGTTGAATTTTTCTTTCAGTGTCTTCGCAATCTCTTCATCTGTGAGGGTTGTGGTCTGCAGCAGGTCTGTGTCCTCCTTGTACTTGTATTTCATCTCAGAGAAGGTCCATCCAACTAAGGCATAAAACCCTTCAGTGGTCTGGAGGCTGCAGATCGACTTCTTGTGAAGTATGGTATCCGGAGACACTTGTAGGTATGTGTTTAGCTCCTGGAAGTCATCTATATGTTTTGGCTCAAGAGTGAATGAATATAGTTTTCTGATATTGCCCATTTCTGGAGTATCAGTGAGAGGAACACTTCCCTCTGGAACATAATGTTTCCTCTTGACTTTCTCCAAGTACCAGACACCATTGTCTTCTGTGAAGCGGAAGATACCAGGAATCTGGGGTTGATCCTTCCCAGAAATCAGCAACATTGGCAGCCATGTTTGGTAGGGACCACCACCAAAACCAGCATCTACTATGTAGGAACTTCCCTTGATCACAACCTTCAGTAGGATGTGATTTATTTGATCAATGTATGCCTTCTTTGCTGGGTCATAACTATTTCCTCCAAGCACACAGATGTCATACCCCATTTCTTTCAAAGCCCAAAATAAAAGGTAGTTTGTTTCCATGCACCATCCACCACGTTTCTTTTTCACTATTTTATTGTAAGTAGATTGCAAATCCAGGTCAATGGTCTCTCCGCAATGCATGCTGAGGTTTTCAAAAGGAATCGCCTGGATGTGATGCTGGAAGATGGCTGTTAAGGTTTGCAAGTCTGCTTCCTTATGGGAGCCATCGAAAGAAATTCTTGAGAAATACTCTTGAATGTTCATTTTATCTGCGTGAGCAGGAAAATAGCCAGTTACTGTTGTGCAGCTCTCAGGGGCTTCCCTCCTATTTCTGTAGCACAGGTTAACCAGCCTGCAAATGTATCTGAGGCTGTTTCACTGAAGATTTGAAAGAGACCTGTGCCTTTGGTAGGAGATGAATACAGGCTAGAGCTACTTCTATCATCTATATTTCTTAGGGAGACAAGAACGGGAGCAGGTAACACTAAAGCTTTATCTCTCAGAAATTGTTTTCAGCACAGTTGGGTGTCTCTGCTACAGGAAAACACAGCACATGGCATAACAGAATCTTTGGCCCCGGATGAATGTGCACGTGACAGAAATTTTAGGAAACTGGCAAAGGAGGTTTGCAAACAAGCTGTTAGCCTACACTAACTGAAGTCACAGCAATGTTTTACTACTGCTTTTATCGTAGCAGTTAAGTAATTCTTTATCACACAGATAATTTAACAGGGAACTTTTACATTCATGGCTTCAGCTAACCAGGATTAACTTCTCAGTGTGTCACTATTTCAGACAAGCTTCCATGCTCAGCAAGTTGTTGTTCTCTTAATCTCTTTAGTTTTCCCATGGAGTTCGGACAGAGCTTTGACTCTGTCTGTTAAAAAGAAGGGATTGTTAATTTTTCTAACCCAATAGCCAGGAGAACTGGTAATTATTTCAAATACCTTCAAGAGGCATCAGTGGCTTTTGGTTTCTTCTGCTATCTTATACAAACGAAAGAATTCAGCTCAAATTGTTGTGTATATTTTGTGTCTTCATGTCTCTCATCCCCTTTCTTTTCATTAGCAGAAAGAGCAGAGATGCAAAAGGTTCCCTGTAACACTTTTAATCCACTGACTGATTTGGTATCTGTAGGGATTTGTTTTGCCTTTAATTTAGATTTCACTTGGCTTTTTTTCCATTCCAAATATGTTGTGGGTTTTTTTTTCCCCAGAATGATTTATAATCTGCTAAGGACTGCACGAAGTTCCAAAAAGGTCTGAAGATTTTTTTTCTTCCTCCTTGAAATCACTCATACATTCCCCGGGAAGATTTTCCAACAATCCTTTGACATAGATGACATGGGAGAGATCATCTCCCAGCAACTATTCTCAGTTTTGGTCTACCTGCTCTCCCAGAAGTGACCAGCAGCTGGATCTAATTTCTGAGAGTGCAGGGAGCTTTTCAAAATCCCACCTTGAACGCATAGATGACAATGCCCTTGTCCTGGAAGGTGAGTGTGTCAGATGACCTTGTCTCTAGACCTTAGCCCCAGCTTTGAAGCCATCAGCATAATGCATTTAACATAGTTGTATTTCTGCTGATTTGCACTAGTACCAAGATTCAGACTGTGTGACACAGGAAAATATGATGAAACAGAGTACTATTGCAATAAGGGAATAAGAAGTAAATATTTTAGCTTCAGAAGGACCCAAAGAGGTTCCATGAAAAAAAGTGTATTGGTACTGCATTTTATGTGGGTTTTTTTTTTTTTTTTCATCTCTTTTTAGGACAAGAGCACTCATCTCTGGCAAAATCTCCTAGGAAACACTGTTTGTACAGAGCCATGCCACCAAATAGATGCAGACATGCATGCTGCGAAGCCCATCCTGTGGTTTTCTGCCTCATTTTTCTCTCTACTCTCATTTTCAGCAATTCTGCATAGCCAGATAGAAGCATCTCATTCTTACGATGGTGTCAAGCTGACCTTTGTGCCCAGGAGGAGCCAAGTGAGTCCCTTAGCCTGGTGAATCTCATAAACCTGGCAGTGGCTTTCAAGTAAGCGCCCATACATCCCTGTTGTGAGCCAGAGCCCTGGTGGTCTCCCTGCAGCCCATCTCCAGCGTTAGGACCCCTGTGGCGTGTGAGCCTTTGGGAGCCTCCATGGGAGACAGGCAGCGGGGCCTGGGGAGCTTGTAGCAACAGCTTGTGCCACAGCTTCCTCAGCTCCGGACCTCATCAGTTTAACAACTGTGTAATAGAGATGGGTATCTATTGCTACTGCAATATGTATGTAGGATAAGGCTGCAGTATGAAAGAGTCGTCGTTAGTGAATGTAGGCAGGTAGCAGCCATATAAACTGCTGTTTGCTCTCACAGCTTCCTGGAGGCAGACTTCCTTATCTACACAGCACCAGTGCCCACCACAGCAGGGCTGTAACAGTGCAAACCTTCACCCAGGGAATGATTTGCATCCAAAACCAGAATGATTCTTCCCTACTAGAATTCGAGACTTCCAAGGTAAGATCCTCTTGCAGGTGCCTATACAATTTATTTGATTTTAAGCTGAATTGCAGGACAGGAGCTGGCTTTTTCATACACCCTGGCTCAGCATAAAATGAGTTCACTTCAAGCACTTGATCTTTGTACTTTGACAACAGCCTTGCACTGCTACACACACTGTCAGTTCTCAGGTGGCTGTAATTCACACTTTGCTAATATGCCTACAGTGCAGAGCACGTGGTATGCAGATGCACAGGGGTGGCAGAAGACTTGTTCTCAGCTACATGCAGAAGTGAGAGCTCAGACAAGTGAGTGCTTACCTCTGCACTAGGAGCTGCAGCCTGGCTGGCTGCTAAGTTCCCAGGAATGTTTGCAATGGGAGCTGCTGCCCTTAAAGATCGAGGCTGCTTTTTGCTGCCTGGCAGGGACAGCATTCTCCTCCAACAGAACAGGAAGGCAGATTAGTTTCACTTTTTATAATATTGTATGTTCTGATGGTCTTATTACTTGATTTTTTTTTTTTTTTTTTTTTTTTGGAACAGAAAGCCCTGCTGTCCAATTAACTGTGGTAGGTGCTATATGAAGAGTCAAAACTTGATGCATTCCCCCAGATTGCTTATAATATTGCGTAGGCTGTTTGACAGCTAAAAGTCCTCCAGGAATGCAAGGCAGCAATCCATTACAGGTAGCATAAGCACCTTTTGCAAGTGGCTGTCACCCCATTTGCAATCCCCATCACCCCCCTGCTTCAGTTTTGGAGCACCCACGCCAAAGCAGCAAAGCGAGAGTGCAACATTTGATACATCAGTGACACTGACGTCCAGGATCCTTGCAGGAAGTGATTTAGGACTGACAGCTTCTAAGCCAAGCCAAGCGAGTCACTGACCTGTAGACAGGAGGTGGCAGCAGTAGGATTAATCACAGCTGGCTCTGGCCGTTAGGCAGCAAGGCCAGATGTGCAAAGGCAGTCAGTCCTCCGAGGCCTGGAAGCCCTGTCCTTCCTAAGTGAGGTGCTTCTGAAGCCTGCTAGGCCTTTAAGACTTTGCCTCTGATAAGGAAAAAAGCAAACCAGTGAAATCTGAGCTGAGGAGTCTCTTTTTTTTTCCCCCTTCCAGCATAACTGCATGTGATTTGTCAGGGCTGGTAGCGCTGAGCTGGGCCAGCAGATAGCAGCCAGGGCATGAACCTCTGGACCTGAGTCAGCTGAAAGAACAGCACTTTTTCTCTGTCATTGGTTTGCCCTTCACATGTGGCATCTCTGGGGCAATGAGCTTAACCCCTTAGCCTTTCCTCTGAGCCAACAAACCAACCCAAAGCATGAGAAATAGCCAGGCAGGGGCTGAGGAGCTTCTAGACCACAGCTTTCTTCTCGCTGCAGCCTCCTCTGGCCATCTCCTCCACCTCTGCTTCTACTCTGCTACTTGTGAACCCAGTAGATTCTGGGCTGATTCCTGCTGACCATCTGCATTACAGGATACTCCTGCCCCATGACAATCCCCTTTTTCTTCTGCAGTTTACTTTAACATCTCATTTCCCCATAGGTTATGGGGAGCCTTGTGTGCATGCTCATATCCAAACACATACGGATGCATTTGAGAGCTAGCTGTGTCTCTGTGAAATGCCTTTGGAAGGTGCAGAATAGCAGCAGGTTTTGCTAACTGTAAATTTCTAGTTGCAGGAAGCTGCACACATTGCTTAACAAACAAACAATAAAAAAGGAGGGACAGTGAGTTATTGCATTTCTAACAGCCTTAGCTGCAAAATATCAGCACATGCAGACAATGGGGGTAGTTGTGGTGATTAATGCTATTTTTTTTCTTTGGGATTAGAGGTTGTAATACAAGAGGAACAAACGGACTGAATACTTCTACTTCACAATTCTTGTCTTTTTATTTAATTGTAACTGGCTTACATTATTAATTGTAAGTGCATAGTTGTAATGCTTTGTGATTCGTACATAAAGGGAGATCAAGCATCATCTCAAAGGGCAAAGTGATTACATTTGTGTATTTTCTCATGCTAAAAATCTTAGCCTTTAGGTATCTGATTAAGATTCATCGTTTCTCCTTATATCAATATAATTAGAATCACTACAAGCAGTCAAATACATACATTTTGGGAAAACTGACTGACAAGCAGTCATATTTGGCATAGAAGTGAGTCTTGTGTGAGGAGGGTGCATTCCCAGCAGTCCTCTCCTGGGTGCTCACAAACAATCCACCGGAGGTGTTTTCAGTTTGAAAGCTTTGGTTATGTTGCTGAGGGTACAGAAATCTGAAAGAAGGCAGATTTGTCTCCTAATATTTCTCATCACCAGTTTTAAGCCACAAATAGCCCCTTCAGTGAGTGTTAGAATTGCTGTGTGAGAAAGTGCGAGGGGTGCAGGGGCACAAAGGACAGGTTTATTGTAGCAAATGGCATTGGATGTCTTTATTTTTTCTGGCTATTACATTTCAAAAAATAGTATGGCATTAATTTAAGATGTGGGTGTGATTTTTCCCCAGGTGGTAGAGCTAAGTAATAAGGAAAGGGACACACTGTTCCCTCTCCCTGCCCTGCTGCTCTGGGTTAGTGGAAAAAGCTTTTAAGAGATGAATGGAGCAGGGAATGGGCAGCATCTGTTGCCAGCTAAGCACAAACAGAAGGGGAGTGATTTGATTGAGTGAGGAAGAAATGATTTGTACCCAGACCAAGGAGAGATGCAGGAACAGTTGTGAAAATCAATTGCTTTTCCCGATTCATGCTAATCTGCTCTGCCTTCTGCTGGGGTAAATGGAAGGAGAAAGATTAACCTTTAGATTCTTGTCAGGAAGAGGGGGGAGAATTGCACGTAATGCCACCATATTGAATTATAAAACAGGCAGTGAGTTAAAACAGAGACAACCTGCTTGTATTGATGGGTACAAATTTCTTATCTAATATTATATTGAATTTCTCCTTCAGTGTTTTCTCCATTTCTTCATCTGCGAGGATTCTGATTTCCACCAGATCCATGTTATCCTTATAATTGTACTTTATCTCAGTAAGTTTCCACCCCACGAGTGCCCGAACCCCGTCGGCGGTCTGCAGGCTGCAGATGGACTTTGTAACAAAAAGTGAGTCTGGGGCAGTCTGCAGGTGCAGATTTCTGGCTCTAAACTCTTCTATGTCTCGCGGCTGGAGGGTGAAGAGATAAACTCGACGGCAAACTTCTTTGTCCACGTTGTGAGGAGCAGTGTTGCTGTGGTTGGGAACATACTGCTTCCTTTTCACCTTCTCAAGGTACCAGGTCCCATTCTCTTCTAGGAAGCGGAAGATGCCGGGTGTCTGAGGCTGATCTTTCCCTGAAATCAGCTCCATTGGCTGCCATATCTGGTAGGCCATCCCAAAACCACCGTCTACAATGTAGGATTTGTCATGAAGCACCACTTTTAGCAACAGATGATCAATGTCATCAGCATATGCATCATCCTCCGGGACGTAAACTTTTGCTCCCAGAAGGGTGACGCTGTACCCTAGGGTTTTCAGGGCCCAAGATAAGAGGTGGTTGTTCTCCATGCACCAGCCCCCACGTTTCTTTCTCACTATCTTGTTGTAAGTGGCTGCTAGATCCAGCTCGATGCTTTCCCCACAGTGAATGCTGAGGTTCTCAAAAGGAACTGCTTGGATGTGGTGCTGGAATATTTCCGTCAAGGTTTCCAGGTCCGGTTTATCATGGGAGCCTCGGTAAGAAATTCTGGCAAAATACTCCTTGATGTCCATGCTGCCTTGGAGAAAAGGGTGAAAAAACACCACAGTTTGTGCCAGAAGTAAGGGAAGGATCTTCCTCATCCATTATATTGATGACAGCCCCATTATGAACAACCCACTCAGAAGAGGAATGGGGTTTGACAAATGGCCCTATCCAAGGCAGCTGAGTGCAAGTATTAGCACTGGGGGAAGCCAATGGGGCACTACTGATGAGCGCAAATGTTATTTTTAATTGTTTCTTTTACAGCTGTGATGAGAAGCTCCAGCTGTGCTAAGCACATTTCAGCAGAGAGTTCCTGCCCAGCAAAGCTACAAATCTCTGTAGGAACGAACAAAAACAGTAGCAGCTCTGTTTTCCTGATAGAAATTATAGGAACTGAAACTCTCCAGCTCTGAACTGCTTTTACTGAGGTTTGACTCGGCAAAGCAGAAACAGAAAACAGACCTCCCCCCCCCTCCTTCTTCCCCACAGTGCAATCCAGAGTGTTGTCTTCAACCACATCTGAAATTAATCTGCTTCCCCATAGTGTGGTCTCCATTATTTAGGCAGGATGTATCTGCTCTATCTGCTCTCAGTGCTGATGGCAGCAGATGTAACCAGGAGTACTCACTCAGGGCTACGAGCATTGCCCTCCCTATCAAATCTGAAGCAGAAGTTTTAGCAGGAGACTGCCTTTCATGAGCAGAGGGGAAGAAAGCATCTTAAGGACCCCCACTTTTTCTATGAAGGTGGCAAGAAATGGGATTTTAATGTGGCCACATATCTTTATTATCCCAGCCTGGCACCACTGCATCTCAGATGGCTCTGAGTGCAGAGCACTATTCTTCACATCGTGGACCTGAGAGGTCCCAAAATGCTCTCACGTATCCATGTGTGGTTATTAAGGTAAAACCATGAGAAAATCTCCAACTGTTCCAACAGGGTTAAGTTCTCAATATGATGAAAAATAGCACACAGCAAATTGTATGGGAGTTTTGGAAAGATAGCTTCAGTATACATGCAAAGCAATGAGAACACTAGCTTTCTATTTGGCAGAGTGTCCTGGGAGAAGCAGAGGGTGTTCCCAGGGTGGCTCTGCACATTTAGGATACAAATGTTCAGAAATCTGTCACTATTACACCATGACAGGTATATGAAATTCAACCAGCAGGCCTGAGTTATCAAACATTGGGTTAAGAGCATCCAATCATTACTCCGGGCCTTCTCTTAGTTCAGCTTCTGGCTTGTGCCCAAGCTTTTCCCCTGAACATCACAACTACAGCGCTATTAATACTTGGAGATGGGTTTTTCAGAAGCAGAGTTCTTGCAGTGGGAGCTTTAAGCTGGTATCACCAGCACTGAGCTTCTCCCCCCCTCGCCCCCACACCTCTTTCTTTCTTCCTTTCCTTCACTTTGCCCAAGTAGGTGAAACGTTTACATTAACTTAAAGGGAAAACATTAAAGAGTTCATCTGTCTTCCTGTCTGCTTCTTGTGGTTCCTTATAAGGCCCTTTCAATAGCTGAATCTGAAATAAGTCAGATGGCACAAATGCTCAAACAAATGTTGGAGGCTGATAACCACGTAAATAATCTGTTGCACTGAACAAAAGGAGGCATTGGTAAGCAGCTGAACGTTGCTCGCTCTGCTGTTGCACAACCTGGCTGTTTGCTGCTCTCAGACGTATCTCACTTCCTGGTTAGGAAGAGTTCAGCTGCCTAAATTCAGGGGTTAAATAAAGGTCTTACCTGGAAAATCAGTTCAACTGCAAACGGATCTCCTGGGGCTTGGGGGGATTTATTTTAGGCAAAAGCAAGTGGCGTGGCTGGCTGTCCTTTACTTAGCACGGGGTCGAGGACTGTCCAGCTCCCTTGCTGGGGAATGTCCTTTCTCTCAACTTGCTTCCACCCGCCTCTGTCAGACTGCAAGAGCTGAAAGAGGAGGGGAAAAAAAAAAAAAGAAAAGGGTGGAGCATAAGAGCTGTATTGAGTGAAAAAGAGTAACGGCACTGACACATGCAAAATCTGGTCTTTATTAGAGCAGAGGTTGCCTGACATTTTCATTTGTCTCACGCTGCCAGCAGCAAATCTTGGGCTAAGAAGAAAAGGGCGAGCTTTTTTGTTTCGATATCTAGCCAAACTCACGTGAGTAATATATACTTACCCTGGGTACTGGCTTACTGGTTCTTTAGGAACATGGGAAGGAATCCTTGCATCCATTCTGTCTGAAAAGCAGCAAGATTTCTGCATGGAGACTTGCACCTGTAAACCCCTGCCTCAGTCAGTACACACCCTAATACACACCCTAACTTTAGTGTTTGCTTAATTCACTCTTTTTAATTTACATGCTAGTTTGCTGTTTTTTTGTGTTTTTTTTTTTTTTTTTTTTTTTTTAATTTATTATTATTATTACAGCAGATTTCACAGAATGAAATTTCACAGGATAAGGCTGGGCCAGCAGTGTGCCTGCTTTGATCTCAGCTCACCTATGGATGCTGTGATGGTGAATATGAGGTGCAAACACATGGGGAACTCCATCCTCTCAGTGTGCTTCACACTGCTTTTCTCTGTACACATGTTGCTTGCATTCTTCCAAGCTAAGACTTATTAATTCTAAATATACAGATGGGTTCTTCTGTGTTAATTCCCTCCTTCACATTTAGTATCACTAGCAAGTTCAAGCATTGGTTTATTGTGATAATTGGTAGAGATGATAAATCAGACCCCAGATGCCTGTGATAACACAGCTCCACTGCTATATCAAAATGTGCCTCTTTATCATCCCATCAGCATCCAGTGTTTGACCCAACCAGACAGAACCGATGGTGAGAGATGCTCAAGTAGCAAGTTACATGCCTTTTTTGGGCTCCTCTGGTTACATCCAACCTGATGAAAAGAGAAGCCTCACATTCCCTATGTAGAGCTTGTTGTACATGGGCTATTCCATTCTCTTGTCACATGTCATTTCAACAAAGAGCAGCCAAAATACAAGCATGGAGACCAGTAGTGCTTAGGGAAAGCACTCTAAGAAGTAGTCAAAGGTCCCATCACAGCACTATGCAAGCAAATCCAGCCACAATCCTTGCCCTGAGTCATTGCTCCCCAAACCTTTAAAACCAAGAGTTCTCATCCTACCTGCTTGCACCCAAGGAGGTCAGAGGGCTAAAGGTACAATAAGGTTCCTCTTGACCAGGAAGCCCTACCACAGACTTTCTATTTCAGCTCTGTCTCATATCATCATGGCTCATTCCAGGCTTAGCAGGGCAATAAAATGCAATTACTGCTGCTGTGTAGCATGGCCATGATATGCCATAAAGCCCCACCTGAGTCCATCCTCAAACATGACAGAGGGCAAAGCCCAGCCCACGTTGCACAGAGCACTTGACCAGCGATGACCCGTAACTCAATTTCCCAAACTTGGCAGGAGCTGAAGCTCACTGAGCATTTTCCAGGAGAACATCAATGTAATTGCACATAGCTTTTATTTATTTATTCATTTAAACTGCCGACAGCATTTAATTTATTACTGAAATCTTTCTCTCATCCTGATCCTCCTGAGAGGCTGCATCAGATATTCCTCCCTCCCCCCTTTAGCAGAGCATTACGTGCTGCAATGTTTGCTTGGAGAAACACAAGCATTAGGCACCCTAATTCCCTAACATTAGGGAATGTTGTGCAATTGAGTGTCTACTCACCGTTGAGCAGCTCCCACTGTAGTGCCCTCTGTGATGGGCTCTGTAACAAAGTACAGATTATTATCTTATGTTAGCTGGGTGCTTAATATAGAAATGATGTGCTATTCTACTCATCTAGCTGGTCTGGGGTGGGAGGAAAGAAAAGAGGCTTTTAAACTAATAGAACATTTGACATGTTTGAAATGGAATAAAATCTTAAATTCTTACACAGCTTCCAATTCTTCCATACTGCTGAGCTCTGAGTGGCTGCAAAATAAAATGCTACACACCCCAAGCTGAGCAGTGTGCCCTATCCCACCATTTCCAAAGGGATTTTAATACCTGTAAGCCACTCTAATACGTGAGTAGTAAATAATATTCATGGCCTATCAGCAATATTCATAATGGTTGAACTCATGCTTTGTATTCATTACCTTGATGTTGCATATCAAGCAGCTGTGGCTACATATCTCCTCTTTGCATCCCTCGTGTGCAATCTGGGTGCTACAAGGAGTCTTCTCCATGGGCCAAGGGAAGAGCCTGCAATGGCAGCAGTGACTTCTGCCCGTGGAAGGAAGTAGCTATGCTTGAATTGCTTGGCTTTCTCTTGGTAGATAATAGACAACATCTCAGTTTTAGCATCTCTATCATCTGAGACATCTTTCTGAGAGCTGGTAAGAGTCAAAAATTCTCTCTTCTGTTTATCTCTACCCTGCCAATATGAGGTTTTTCACACAAATAACACCAAACATGCTAATACAGACCAAGAAGACCACTCTCGCCTGCAGGGCCTTTCGGTCCAGAAGGTTTCAGCATAAATCTCTTAAATGCAAGTGGTCATAATTCAGTTAAATTCCATTTCAGGGGGAACAATAAGCTTTTCTACATGAATGGTTTTATCTCATTTTAAGTAGCTGCTCTGATGAAAAAATATATCCATTTACATGGCTTTTATTTTCCCATGGATCATGACTGCTGTGGTGGACAGGACACAGTTGGATCCTCAACAACATGTGTCCCCAGCACCCTGGGCCATCCTACAGTTCCCCGTGCTTCTGCCATCCAGCTACAGCATGAGCATGGGGAAGCAGAAGTTGTCCTCCATTTCACAAGCAGTGATCACACCCTCAACATGTCTTTCTCTATCTTGCCAAGGCTGAGTGGAGGGGCAAGATGGAGGTTGTGCTGAAGGCTGTCTGCCACCCAGACAGGGGTTTGGTGGCCACAAGGTGGGAATTGGGAAGGAACAAAACTGATGTGGCCCTTGGCCAAACCCAACTGCTGATGCCCATCTGTCCCACAGCAGTCAGGTGCCTGGCTCTGGCCAGGTGCTGCTGAGCATCCTGAGTTCTAGCAATGGCCATGCTGGGGGAAAAGAGGTACCAGACAGGTAGGAAGGGAGCTCCTTCTGGGCTGGGCAGGCCCTGGCTAGTCTCACACTGCATTACTGGGGTTACGCCATTGGCAAGCTTGCATCCCTCTCCTTAACACCAGCTTCTCCCTCAGCAAAACCTACAAAAGCACTGCCCAAAACACTCCTTACCAATTGGGATGTAAAGTCAGCATCAGTGAAGTCACACGTAAACATTTTCAAAGCAGAAATATATCTAACCAGAAACAAGACCTGAAATCATGGCTGGGACATCCCCATCTGCAGCCACCCCATGGCAAATCCTCCTGGTGGAGCCTATCCCCAAAACCACTGTCAGCCAAGAGAGAAGATTTCTCCCCATCCAAACCATTGAAGCTTGGGGGTCCTCCTGCAGCCTGCTGCAGCTCACATACGTGGTGCTGCAGGTGCTCAGATGTTAGTTTCAAATCTCAGCTTTGCAAGAGCTCCTTCTTTCCCTCCCTCTCTCTTCATCAGACCTTTGCATCCACCGCCTCAAAAATATCACAGTGCCTTCCAAAATCAATACACAATATGCCCCCAGGGCACCTTTGGAGACCAGGGCGTTAATCTTTCTCTCTTCATTTCAACATCCCACCTAGACACTGGATATATTCCATTCTCCCAGCTTTTTTGTGCAGATATATACACTCCCAAGATCAAGCAGTTAATAAATGCCATCATGTTAAGCTGTAATTGCTGAAGGGAAGTGTGACAGCGTAATGTGTAATGGGCCTCAGCGAGGCGGGCTGGACCCTGAGCTGCTTTCATTTCACATTTTCTAATGAGAGCTGTTGGTCACGCTGTCAGAGCCACACAGGGCATTTGCTCCCCTGCTCCTCTGGCACAGAGCTGCAGTGGGCAAAATGGGCATCCACAGCAGAGCCCGTGAGCAAAGGAGGTGGTGTATGGGGCAGTACTCATCCCTGAAGGACACAGTTAAGACTCTGTCCAATTTCACTCCATTTTCACCATCGTTGGTAGCAGCAATAGCAGGGCAATGTTTTTTGCACGGATAGAAAGGCCTCATCTGACAATAAAGATGTTACGTTGGCGTTAATACAAAAACCAGCAGAAGAGATACCTTTAAAATTAAATCACTGATCACTTGCAAGAATTCTGTACTGTTGCCAAATGAGTATAGAAAATAACCCGTGACCTACACACGCAATCCAGCTGTACAGGTGTGACCTACCTGCACAAAGAGGGCCTGCAAGGCACCAAGCTCTGTCATTATCAGCCTCTATCATTATCAGCCTGGGTATTAAAACCTGTTTACCATATGCAAAGAATATTTTTGCAAAATGTTTCAAGAGGAAATTACTCACAGCTAATCCACAGGTGCACTGATGGAAGGAGAAGCATTTACCTGAAGGAATACTGTGGGGAAAAAACACTGCTGTGAGTGGGATATAAAGCAACCTAAAGAGCATCTCAAAGGGAAATAGTCTTTAATTGGCCTAAACAGAAAATATACTGGCTTTAATTTATGTGTTTTCCATATAGAGAGCTAATTGTATTACAGGAAAACATGCAAATATAGAAATACACACAAATGAAATCCCCACCTGGATCTCAGCCTGCTTCTCCAAAAAAGCTCCTCCAAAAGAAATCTGCTGTTTCATTGAGAAGGGTCTCGTTGAGTGCAGGGGGAATAACACTCAGCCCTATTTCAGACAGTCAGCCTGGAAACACACAACACGAGGAACAATTACATGAGTTCTGTCATTCCTGCTGCTCAGATATTTTAGTTTTTGGAGAGGTAGGTGGGAGGGAAACCTTTTATCTCCGTGAAGAGCAGGAAACAGAGATGTGCAGTGACAGCAAAAACTTGCACCTTCAGAAAACACATTCACTATAATTCACT